TGTCTCTCCTTCATTTCGTCAGCCAGTTCCCAGTCACATACCCCTCCCCCCGGGGTTCCGGTCTGTTTCTTCACGTTCTGTTTCAGAGGCAACCCCGGGAGGTTTTTGCGTGTTTAGTGGAGTTGGGCTTGGGTAACTTTCATTGTGCACCTTTATTGTCAGTCATCATGTTCTGGTGCGGTTAGTCAAAGCGAGCTATCTTTGTCTTTGTCTTCTATCCTGCCTCCATTGCAGTGTTGATATAACTTTATTCTCTATCCTCTGGGATTGGTGTCCTGAATTTCGATACCTGCTCTTTTCTCTTGGTTCTTTTCCCCGCTCTTCTCTCCTGCTTCTCTACCTTTGCTTTCTCTCTTTTTGGGGTTTCCTGTTCCAACACGGTACGGTGGTAATTTGAGGAATACTTCTCCTCACGACTTTTCTTTTTCTTTGCATATCCAGGTTTGATTGAAGTTGCCCAGATTCGAGGATAGCCGAGTGGTAGCAGAGGCTTTTTATTCTAGTTCCATTTGCATGGCGTTAAGACTGGCGTCGGCATATCATGGGCCTCGATCTACATCTGCATTTTGCATCGCGGGGGGGGAACGGATATGCTTTTCTAGTCAGTTGTCAGACTTCCATCCAATCCATCCGTTATTACGGTGGAATTATTTGCTACTTCTTCTGAGCATTTAGATAAATCCGTTCCTGCTATCTCTACTACTTTCTGGCTACCTCCTTCCATTTCAGAACTACAACATAAAATCGGAAGGCACGCCTCCACCTGCGAGTACAAACCCCACCTCCCCACTGGAACGTGAACACTCATAGCCCACTATCTGAATCCCAACCACACCATCTATACTGGTAAACTTCCTCACCCATATCAAGCTCAAAAGCGTTCTCGTCCAAAGTCTGGCCTTCTATATCGTTCGCAATCAGCTGGTCTGTCCGATACTCTCTCCCGCGCTCAGAATGGTAAAATCTTTCCGTAGTGATTCACAGCCAACAATACCCAATTCTCCCCACGCCTTCCGATCCGCAACTATAACAATTATCCCGTTCCAGTTTGGACGGCGATTCCTTAGGCCAGCGCCATTCACAACATGATAGACCTTTAAAAGTATCGGGATAGTGGATAAGAACCGCGACCAAGTACAACGGCACAGAGCCTGGCCTTCTGCTGGCGACCCTGTCCTCAAAATAAGGGATTCTTATCTCCTTCGGGTATGGTGATACTATTGGGCCTGACCTTTTCCTTATTTTCACATGTACACTCTTCTTCTAGACACCAAATTATTCCATTCGGATGCCCTCTTTCAGAGCAATGAGGCGCAGCCGACTGTATCCAGCATTGGCGGCTTCTTGGCTTGTCTTGTTATCTTTCCGTCCGTACCATGTCTGGATCGAGAAAACTACATATGTAGAGATGCTGAACCATCCTTGGAACGTTCCTCTTCTGTCATAAGGTTTTGGGGCAGCACATATGGAGGGAATTCACCTGGGATGTCTTCTCCTGCTGAGTATAGCTGTTTCTTTATCAGTATATATTCTTACGGGTTAAGAGACAAGGGGGCTAGGGTTATATTGCGGCCGTGCTTGCCAAGCCGAAGCCAGGACTCAACAAGAGTACGATGCTGCCGTTTCTTTGAGAGGGGAGAATTGGCATCTCACATTGCCTGTTGGAATGTTACTGTTTGATTTTAGTCTATTTTGGGTATAACACTGAGATCAAAGCCGACTGCTCCGGTATTTGGCTGGGCTCCATTATCGGTGTGGGTTCCAAGCTAGCAACCACAACTACGACAGTAGGAAACTGCGTCGCAACTACTCCCACCTGCGCAGGAATGGTGAGCAACTTTGATGCCTTTTATATGGCCACATATGGGGATTGATGCGGCAAAATCGCCACACAATATCGTATCACCATTAAGTAACTATCGAAATGGAATAAGGAGATTGGATTAACCTGCAGAAGGCTGTGGCCTGACTACTATATTTGTGTTAGTATCGTGGGCGTGGATCCTAAGCCGACGACAACAACCAAGGGCAATGGGGTGGCTATATTGTATGCCGACGCGGACACAGGCTGGCAAGATTTGGACCTGTGATAAGTCCCATAATGTTGTGGATGGGGATAATTGTGAGACAATCGCCAAGGTGGAGGGAGTTACATTAGCCAATCCCTATAATTGGAATAAGGGAGTGGGAAATTACTGCTGGACTTTGTGGCTCTTATATTATGTGTATATTGGAGTCAGCAATGGTGCCAGCCCTGGAAAGTAGATAAGGTGACAAATGTTTGAAGACTGCCTACCTGTAGGTGGCCTCTCCACAGTTAAGATCGGTAAAAACGTGATATCGATCTTGTAGTTATACCCTTGCTTGGAACCTCAAGTAATCCCTTTTTAAGACCGCTGCTGACATCATAGTTTTAAGCGGTGTTCTTATGTTGTATAACAGAAAATCGGCAAGGTTTCATCATAGATTGCTGTCCCTGTTTAGATAGCTGTTTGTAATGCATCCGTTTTATTTTTAGTAGTAAAAGTCGATGGCTTTTTTTGGGTTATAGATGGCGATCGGGATGGATCTTTCCAGGGACTTATTTAGATGGTGTATCTATTTCATGTACGGAGTAGCTAAGTGGACCTTCCAAATGGAATTCGAACACCCCAAGAGTGGCGTTTTTAAGCCCTAGTCGTCAGCGTAATGAGATCCAATAGCGCAATTGGCCGCAGTACTAGAGTTGGACCCTCAGTACGGAGTACGTCTCCACCAGATCGGGATTTCAGCTGTGAGTCTCTTCCACGTTCCGATCTGTTGAAGTGGATTGAGATATACCCGAGCGTTCCGCCTTTGGTTGGATATATCGTAGCCTAGAGTATATGTGTAATTATATAGACGGACTAAATACTCCGTACTACGCGTTGAAATATTTCTTTTGCGTCGAGTGGCCTATTCGCCGATCTTACTATATTGGTCCGGGAGATTGTCGGAGTTTAATCGACTCGAGTCATGTTTATTGGGGTTTTTATTTAATAATATATAGGAGTATGGAGTACATTTTAGACTATATGATACTATAGGTGGTCATATTCGGGGAATGTTGATATTGTAAATATTGATACTATATATATGTCGATCTCCTATGCCATGCAGTGACGCGCAGACCACTCTGGAGTACTTCGTATCCATACATAAGGCGAAAGTCAAAAGTAATAAAGGCCATTCTGAGCCGTCTGATTGCCTATTTGATTGGCCTGCAGGATGATATGCGCATGGGCCGTTTTGATATAGGGGATAATAATATACAACATAAGTGCTCCGTACTAGACAGACCACGGACTATAAACTGAAACACCTAATATAAATCAAGTTAAAGGATAATAACATATAACATATATATAACATAACAGAATATACCAATATACCAAAAAGCAAAGAAGAAGGAAAAAAAAAGGAAAAGGGGTAACATGTGTTATGACCCACCAAATTAAACCTGAATAGGTGATAGCGTGGTTAGGTCCACGAACCCTTTTGGCACTCGCTTTTGATATCTCATTTAGTAGATTCATCATAGGGATGTTAGAGGGAATATGTATAACTATATACTATCTACATATCTATATCTACAAGTTCCTACAAGAACTACATATATAATCCTCTATATCCGATACCGGATATAGAATTGTATGTAGGCAACCCCTGAACCGCCCCTTCCCGTCTCCGCTCTACCTGGGCACACTGCACGGCTTACAGTCATGGAGGTCCACGGGTACCTTCAAATCATTCCTGATGTGGGGGAGATCGACTGCCATTGTCTTTTCTTTTTTTTTTCCCTCCCTTTTCTAAACATACGAGTACTTTGTGCGGAGTAGTTCCTAGAGTGTTTCTAGTCCCATTTTCAGATATCCCTACCGTTCTCGCTCTTCTTTCTCTTCATCTTTTCATTTCTTGATTAGGCTGCTACTTAACACAAGTGCTGTGACTATAAGGGAATCTGCCGATCTCCATATATTACGCTATATTCCGAACTTCCTTTCCGAACCCCTCCTATTGGGAATTGTCTTTGCTTTTTCTTATCTCGCATCGTTTGTTCCGATGCCAAAGCAAATTCACAATGAGTGTTATCGCTAGAACAGAGACCCCTGCGGGATCTCATTCCATCTCCGAGAATCATGCCGACTGTTCCATTTCAAATACTTCCCGGGCCTCCTCGATATCCTCCTACAGAACCAACTATAGCGCCTCAACTACGCCGACCACATACTCCCCTTCCTCCCCTTCCTCCCCTTCCTCATCTTACCGTCAATCCGACTCTGTCAATTCTCTTCCTAAATTAAGTGAACCAGTTCAACGCCGAGTACCACACGAGGTCTACGAGGTGATAATCTACCATTTAGAGGATTTACACAAAGGGCAGCATCAAACAGGATGTACCACGTGTTTTCAACGAGATTTACATGCCTTATCCTTGACCTGTCGGTCTTGGGAAAAGGCTGTTAGAGGCCCGCTGTGAGTTCGAGTCCACCCTCCCCCCTTGTTTGATTCAAGGTTACCAAGAAAGCCAGAATTGTGTGCTGATTGAACATGCCATACTAGATACCACAGTATACACATTGTCGGAAATGACTCCCCGGCTCAACTCAAGAAATATCGTCTGAAAAGAGGAAGTCGCCTGAAGCTTCTGAGGCGAACCCTTCGTGAACGAAAGTTGCTGGCCAACCTTGTATACGACCTGCGGGTGCCCCAATTAGATTTGCTCTTTACCACGACGAAACAAGGTACGCCGTGGCAGGAGTATCGAGACTTGGTAGCATCCGTGGTTATGGTATGCCCAAACTTGGAGCGCCTGTTGGGCTTGTCTATCCCGTATCATCATGTATTTGATCGTCTGACCCATGCTTTGTCAACCCGCAAAAAGCTCAAAGAGCACACCTGGGTTTTGGGTGAGCCCGCAGAAGCATCGGAGCTAGTCACTGCGTGGCGATTCATGCCCTGGGAGCCTGGCTCCCTCCCAGATGTTTGAGTTTTTGAATTACCACACCTCGTGGACAAACTTGGAGACACTGATGCTTTATGGGTTGAATGGAAATGGAGCATTGGAGCCTAGCATCTCCCTGCGCATGTTCAATCTTCTTCCTTCATTGCGTAACCTCTGCATTACCTCCTTCAACAAAGACTCCTTTGATGATAGCACATTGATGTGTCTGCCACCGTTGGAGTCATTAAGATTGGAGAACCTGCCAGGGATTACAGACGCTGGCCTTTCGCAGTACACGTCACGATCCGAATCACATACTCTCAAGACGCTCGTCTTGATCGAGCAGAATGTCGAGTCGCTACTAGTCATTTCTAAAATCCTTGCGTCACTACGACGACTTGAACGGTTCAAGATAGCCCAGACTGAAAAGTGCCCAACTTTACCGGATGAGCATATGATCTTCCAGCCTATCCTGGCCTCATCATCTCTAAAATATCTCCACTGGGATGTGGCATGCCCAAACCCAGACGCAGCCCTCACCCAGCTCGATACCCTCCCCTTCCAGAAACCAACACACCACTCTAACACCCCCAACTCTCATCTTGCCCAAAGCATCCTTTCCGCTGGTTTCCCTCAATTGGAAGCTCTCCGAGCACCCTCCGATGTAGAGCCCCCAGGTGCGCTCCAGGCTGTCTGCCGACCTGTATTAAAGGGTCAAGCTCTGCTCCGACCAGACCGGTACAGTTTGCCTCGCAGCTCCCACGGTTCCGTGAATACCCGACCACTCGCTCTGCCAGCGGGCAACAATCTGACCTCAGCTCGAATCCGTGCTCAGACGTTCATCGACATGGCAGCCAAGGACACCGAGGCCGGCATGCCGGTTCTGATCCAAGATTACTCGGACGCGTATGTGCCGGATAATGCGCAGTATTCTCAATTCGAGGAAGAGCCTGTTCAGGAAATGGACGACTATGGGATCTGGGCTGCCTCCGAACGGTTCAGACACAAGGACAATGACCACAACGGCCCCAAAACGGTCTACGAGTTCCGCATGCCAACCTTGATTGGCCGTAGTGGTTTCCGGGATCCTGCAACGGGCGCATCAATCCCCCACTTCGTCCTCCGTCCTGATATCCCCGGCCAGGAGTTAGACGGTGGCTTGATTGGGTGGAAGCAAGTGCTCGCCTCGAACCAGTCATTGTCATATGCTGCCGGAGTAGGCGTTAATTGCTTCGGCGGCGGAATCCCTTCTACCCCACCCCCTGACGACCTCCTGTCGCCTGCATCCACCATTTCAAGGTTTGGCTGGGGGAGCTTGAGTGGGCGGTCTGTGACGTCGGTAATGGGTACGTCTCCAACGACACCCACCACACCAATCACACCTTTGAGTAGTGCATTGGGCTCGGCCTTGCCTTGGGAGAAGGATACCTGTACTGGAACCTGGAACCACAAAATGGGCCGGGACTGGTGGTTCCATATGGAGCGTGAGCGTCCGAGCAATTCAGAGCTCATTGACATTAAACAACTTTTTTAACCCATTCTTTCTACACCTTTTCCCTTTTTTTCCCTCCTTCTATTTCTTGTCTATATATACTCTACGCCATATACCCCACACCTGTTAGAATCTCTTTTTCTTGTATCTTTTTTTGTCATTTCGTTTCGATCATCTGGTCCGCCAGTTCTAATCTCATTGTACAGTGCTCATGATGCAAGCGCTGCTGTGTCAGATGGACGGATATGGGGTTGCATAATCATTCGATGGGCTTGGGCTCTTGGTCGTTTGAATCTTTCATTGTTATATCATTATTGGCGCGTCGGTAGGAGGTCAATGTGTTCTTCTTTCTGTCATATTTGAGTCTGTGCACTCCTTGTATCATGTTTGTACAGCATTGGTTGCATAGTATATAATAATTGAACAGCATATGAAATGGCCTTTTAGTCTTTATATGTAAAAGTACATAACTAACCCATAGCCCTGTATTGTATGGGGGCTCTAGTACGGTATCTTTGGGCAGTATACAAGATGACTCATCCCGGGCTAAATCGGACCGATAAGCGAATGTCAACTGATAAGCATTGAATACAAAGCCCCTCGTCGAGAAAAAAATATCCCCCACCTTTGCTCTCACAATCGTTATCCGTCGCAATGGACCCCGCAAAGCCCGTCGACCTGCCTGAGAGGCCCAAGGAGGCCACCGAGCCTACCGACCCACCCAAGAAGTCCAAGAGTCAGGAGAAGAAAGAGGCCGCAGCGGCCAAGAAAGCGGCGGCCAAGCTAGCAAGACAGGACCAGCCCAAACCAAAGGGAGAGCCAAAGGCTCCCAAAGTCAAGGAGGCTGCTGCACCCCGGGACCCTGATGCTATGTTCAAGGTTGGTTTCCTGCACGACGTCTACCAAGAAAAGCCCCTCTCCGAGACTGTCCCCAAGATCCGCACGCGATTCCCGCCTGAGCCCAACGGATACCTCCACATTGGCCACAGCAAGGCCATCGCAATCAACTTTGGATTTGCGAAGTACCACGGCGGTGAGTGCATCCTGCGCTTCGACGATACCAACCCAGAAGGCGAGGAGGAGCGTTACTACAATGCCATCCGGGAGATTGTGACATGGCTCGGCTTCACACCTGTGCGTGAGACCAATGCCAGTGATAACTTCGACCGCCTCTACGAGCTCGCAGAGGACCTTATCAAGCGTGATGGCGCATATGTTTGCCATTGCAACAAGTCCGAGATCAAGGCCCAGCGTGGTGAGGTCGAGGGCGGTCAGCGTGGCGGAGAACGCTTCTCGTGCAGCCACCGCACACGACCCATCGAGGAGTCCATGGCCGAATTCCGCGCCATGCGCGATGGAAAGTACAAGGCTGGAGAGGCAGCGCTGCGCATGAAGCAGGATATCACAGACCCGAACCCACAGATGTGGGATCTGTTCGCCTGGCGCATCATGGGTTCTGAGGACAAGCAGCACCACCTCACCGGCGGCAAGTGGAAGATTTACCCCACCTACGACTTTGCGCACTGTTTGTGTGATAGCATCGAGGAAATCTCACACTCGCTGTGCACAACTGAGTTCGAGCTTTCCCGTGTCTCATACGAGTGGCTCTGCGATAAGCTGGAGGTCTACCGCCCCAACCAGCGTGAGTACGGTCGTCTCAATATCACCGGCACAGTTCTGTCCAAGCGCAAGATCATCCAGCTCGTCAAGGAAGGCCATGTCCGCGACTGGGATGACCCACGTCTGTACACGCTCATTGCGCTGCGCCGTCGCGGCGTGCCCCCCGGCGCGATCCTCGCCTTCGTCAACGACCTCGGCGTAACAAAGAACACCACCAACGTCCAGGTCACCAAATTCGAGCAGATCGTCCGCCAGTACCTTGAAACCACCGTCCCACGTCTGATGGTCGTTCTCGAGCCGCTGAAGATCATCATCGACGACCTCCCAGAAGACTACGTCGAGCTCCTCGACTGCCCCTTCTCCAAGGACCCCGCCTTCGGCACCCACGACATCCCCTTCACGAAGACAGTCTACATCGAGCGCTCCGATTTCCGCGCCGTCGACTCACCAGACTACTTCCGCCTCGCCCCAGGCAAAACAGTCGGCCTCCTTAAAGTCCCCTACCCCATCACAGCAACCTCCTTCGAAACAGACCCCGCTACCGGCGAGGTCACCTGCGTCCACGCCAAATACGAGAAGCCCGCCGAAGGCGAAGCCGTCAAGAAACCCAAGTCCTTCATCCACTGGATCGGCGAGTCGGCCGCGCACAACAGCCCCATCCGCGCTGAGGTCCGTGCTTTCAACTCGCTGTTCAAGTCCGAGGATCCGTCCGCCCACCCGGCTGGTTTCCTCTCCGATATCAACCCGGACTCGGAGGAAATCTTCAAGGATGCTATGGTTGAGACTGGATTCCGGGATATCTCCCGCTCGGCGCCGTGGCCTAAGGAGGAAGGCGCTACGGAGCCTGGTGAGAATAAGCACTCTATTCGCTTCCAGGGTATGCGTGTTGCGTACTTTGCTGTTGATCGTGAGTCTACTGATGAGAAGTTGGTGCTTAATCGCATTGTTACTCTTAAGGATACCCAGGGTAAGAATTAAGACTTGGAACTGCAGGCTTTCTGATTAAAATGACTTTTCCATGTCCTTAACTCTTTATTTTCTCTATGTTTTCCTTTCTTGTTTCTTTCTTATAAACTCATGGTGGAAGGAAGTTGTGTGGGGGTGTGTGATAAGCCACTGTTGTTGGTATGGATTTATGACCATTGCATCTTTGCGTGTCTTTTGCTCTTTTTTTTTTTTTTTCTTTTCGGCCCTTTGGGATTCTCTAGGCTGTTGTGATATTCACTATGCATAATTGATTCCCGTGGCCCCGGGGCAGTTATTGGTATATGGTACAATGCACAGTGCTCAAATACAACTTTTGAATCTGAATATCTATGTCTACGAGTACGGCTTCACCATATAGACAGTATCATCTTACGCCAACGGATTAAGTGCAATTTACTTGGTAGATGTATAAAGAAAATCGTTATAAAAGGTCCACACCATTCATGCATAACGAATTACCGGCTTCCATTCAAACCGAGGGAGCATACATACACGAGATGACTCGAGACATCAGAGAGAGGCAACGAAGGAGGGAAGATCGTGTAAGGATCGGGACATAAAAAGGCAAGATAGTCTATACTCTAAACATAGATGCCCATGTTGGTATCCTTCTTCTTAGCCTGGACCTCGGCGATAGCATCGACGTAGTTCTCATGACCAATCTTGCTCAGACCCTTCCGCAGCGCAATCATACCAGCCTCAACACAAACAGCCTTGAGTTGGGCACCGCCGAACTCGTCCGTACTGCGAGCCAACTCGGCCCAGTTAACACTGTCCTCGACGGACATCTTACGCGAGTGAATCTGCAGGATATTGGCGCGGGCTTCCTCGTTCGGGAGGGGGAACTCGATCTTTCGGTCCAGACGACCGGAACGCAGGAGGGCAGGGTCCAGCACGTCGACACGGTTGGTTGCCGCTAGGACCTTGATGCGGTCGTCCGAGGCAAAGCCATCCAGTTGGTTCAGGAGTTCCAGCATGGTTCGCTGCACTTCGCGATCTCCGGATTTCTCTGAGTCGAAACGCTTGGTACCCACGGCATCCAGCTCGTCGATGAAGATGATAGAGGGCGCCTTCTCCTTAGCTAGGGCAAAGCAGTCGCGCACAAGTTTGGCGCCGTCTCCGATGAACATCTGCACCAGTTGGGGTCCGGCGAGCTTGAGGAATGTGGCGTTCGTCTCGGCGGCACAGGCACGGGCCAGAAGCGTCTTACCCGTTCCTGGGGGTCCGTACATCAAAGCACCTGCGGAAGGGAAATGGATAGATTAGCTTTGGAGTACCGGAGAAAGAGGAAAATAACTCACCCTTAGGGGCCTTGATGCCGATTTTCTTAAAGCGCTCTGCCTCCTTCATAGGCCATACGATGGCTTCCACGATCTCTTCGATCTGCTTATCCAGACCACCAATATCTGTGTACTTCTCCGTAGGCTTCTCGTCGACCTCCATTGCCTTGACGCGGTTGTCATACTCGGCAGGTAGTGTGTCCAGAATGAGATATGAGTCCTTGTTGACACCGATCAAGTCACCGGGCTTCAGCGTTTCGTGATCGACAAGTCCAATGAGCGGAAGGAAGATCGTCTGACGGGTGGAGGTCTTGATGACAGCTGATTTGCCTACGCGGGTGGCATCCAGGTCGATATTAGCCCCTTCCTCTGCTGCCTCTGCCTCCACATCAAGATCCAATAGCTCGACGACGTTTCCAACAAGGTATGGCAGTTGTCTAAATAGTCGCAGATAAAAATGTCAGCAGATTGTTGACAGTAAAGTGTCTTTTTGCCGATCCGCAAGCCGGCCACCAAGCTCCGCGGGCTTGCAGAACAACGAATATGGGGAACGGTGAAAGCACACCTGTTGTTCTCGATCTTCTCTTGATTATCCTTCACCTTCTCCCTCATTGTGCTCTGCTCATGTGTCAAACGTTGGAACTCGCTTTTCATGATTCTCATCTCGTTCTCCAGCATCCGCCGTCGCGTAACGATGTCTGCCGTGCTTGAGTTCAAGATATCCTCGTCCAGCATCTCTTCTTCTTCGTCTTTTTTGTCGGCGTCTTGCATATCAGCATCGCCATCGCCTTCGGGCTTCTTGCCATTCCCATCGTTCTGGTCTTGCTTCTTCTCTCTCTGCTCCTGCTCAAGGTCGTCGAGGTCCTCAAGAGTCGACATGGCGGAATCGAGAAATCGGGAATTATAGAATCAGATCAATAGAAAGCTTGGAAATGAAAAGCCAGCAGGTCGATAGATTGGAAAAGGATGGGGGAAGATGAGACAAGGTTGCTAGGAGAAAGAGCTGTCGGTGGCCGAGCTCCAACAACGTCAGCCATATAGCGTCACGTGATGCTATCTACGTTTATAATCAAGTGCGATTCGATTCTATCTACTTGAAATCGTTTTTATTTTGTACAATGTGAGCATCTTCGGTCAATTTATCTTGTATCAGGCACCACAGATTCTATATATACCAATAAGGATTATTGGCTTTCATTTGGATGTTGCCAAGATTGTCCAGTACTGTTTTCCGGCCGAACTTGAGCAGACGAAGTCGAGAAAGGTAGTCATCGTTGTTGACTGCTACTTTGTTAGTGGAAAAAAACATAAAAGGAGGATTATAAGGTAATAGATACCGTAACCACCGCACATTCGCCTCTTTCCAGTGAACTGAGAGCGGCCATGTAACATTCTCCAGTTATCGAATACTAAGACAAACGTGTAAGCCGAAGTGGATTTCAAAATGGAACGGAAGGCTCACTGAGTGCCGATCCTGGATTCAGCTTCGTCCACAATTCTCTGCTCTGCAAGATCTCGTTATAGTGGCGCGCAGCCCTGTACCACATAGCCTGCTCCGATGCCGACCAATTGACCTTTGGTGCACGATCATAGTTGTTCCAGCGGATCTGGTACATTATATTCATATCCGGATGGATCGAAAAGACTGGTGCCATGGCGGATGGTTGGATGCAGATGTCTTCGTTCCCGCTTGCGTGCCAAGGATGCCTCTGATTCACTAATTGGGCATAATGCTCGGGTTTCTCGTCGCGTAGTTGAGCTGCAGCTGCGAATCCATCAATCAAGAGGTTTTCTCCACCAGATCCCTCGGTATGAGATAGCAGATGGAAGAGCTGAAGTCTTGCAGGATCTGTGAAATAAGTGTTGTCCGTATGAGCACCCAGGAATTCGTTAGTATATGCCGTGTCTTTGAAAGTCAAATCGGCCGTGAAGTCCCAAAAACCACCTGAATCTATGTTAGCTGAATGAGGCATTAGTGGATGGTGGATCTGCATTACATACCATAATGGGTGTTCCTGATGAATGCAATCCGTTCAATGAGCAATTGAGTCGCCTCTGCGCTGATAGGAACGTCGTCTACAAAACAGAATCCACGATACCACTTCATAAATATTAGCAAGTTTGATCAAGAACTCAAGACAGAGGGGCTTACAATATGCTCCAACCAAATACGAAGAGCTCTATCGTCTGACATAACATCCTCATATTTCACTCTGGGACTCTGATTCTGATCCACGATTTGCTTAGAAAACCTGTTATAGCGTTAACATCATTATCCGACTGGGACCCTTTCGCTTTGAGTAACTGACCTTGGAGGTCGCTTTTGGTCATGTGTCATCGATTGATCTGCTTTAATTGTAGGTTCTGCTTGCGAGTGTGCTGAAAGCCAAGGATACGAATAAAGCCCCTCATGATTATCAGACCCTGGGGCGGTGTCAGCGTTGGTAGACGAAAGTCATAGTGAAGCATGCCGTCTCTCACACTTGATCTTGACTATATCGTCATTGTGCTCAATTGACTCTACTTTAACTTCCTGCGAAATCTGTAGGGATATCATCAGAGAAAGTGTAGTCACAAAGAATTGTGAGATTTCCTACCGAGAAAGTGTCACTTATCCTCTGCATCGTATCTGGATGAATACATTTGGGACACTGGCAATTTTCTCTGGTAGGCACCAAGTTGTCAATGAGAGCCAAACCCTCTAGTATGATGTCTTGGTCACTTACCTGAGGAAAAAACGACCGCTGTAAAATGCAAGTCAGTGGCTATTCATCTTCTCTGGAATTACAACTAACTTACAAACTCAACGTGATTTCTTGATTCTTTCTGTCTTTACCTGGAAATTTGACTATGTCGGACATGGAATCGGAAGAAGCAATCTGACGACCATCGGGAGTGATCTTGGTGTTCAGCAACCTCGACCAACTAGGTGTGACATGTCGGTGGCTAGTCGTCTATGAACAGCAGAACAAAGAGACCGAGTTAGTCTTTTGATAATTAACTGGAGTGTATATCATGCACTGAATTCATACCAAACTGCCAGCGGGGAAATAGCGGGGTCTCAGGCTCTTGTATCTAATTCGAGGGGACTTTAGTGTTGGATGTTCAATAATTAACAGATGAAAGGGGATCTTACCCGGCGCGACTCCACAGCTCACTCGATCTGAGTGCTGAACGCCAGCTGGAAAGCATGGTCAGTATGCAGTAACAGGGGTTCCAAGGTTAGGGACGAGGAATTAGTATAAACAATGCAGGGACAAATCCGGGGTACCAATTTGTAAGAGCTTCAAGTTCGGGAGCGGGACAACCGAGGTTACAGTCACGTGCAAGTATATAACGGAACTATGGCATAAATAGTTTCGTAGAAAATGAAACAATGCTATTTAAATACGCATTTCGAAATTCAAACTATACGCAATCAAACAGATCTTTGGTGCAAATAGTCGTAATCACAGCTTGCCCTTCACGCCTGCCACCTTTAATAGACAACGCCCATTGCTCAACACAGCCAGACCCTTGTCGTTCTTAGTAACGAATCGGATCTCCTCGTAGCCATCCTGAACGTTGCCCATTCTCCAAATCTCAGTAGTAAGCTTATCGCCAGGCCGGACGGGTGAGGCAAAACGAGCCTGGAACTCCTTCATATTGGCAGGGTTGCTACCACCCAATTCGCGCAGAATCCCATGCGCAGTAGAATTCCAGCTGAAAAGACCGTGGATAATAACACCACCAAAGCCCATCTTCTGGCCTGGCTCTGGTGTAGCGTGTAGAGGGTTGTAGTCACCGTTGAGACTGATCAAGGAGTTAGCATAAGACGTTTCAAGTATACACTTTGGTTCAAGGACATAGAACTGAACTATAGACATAGAACTGAACTATATATGCACTGGATACTTACCGGTACAGCTGAGCTGTCTCAGAGTTAGTCTGAACAACATGGATAGCATCAGGGGCCTTGCCCTCGGGCGGAGGATAGTTGACGGTGCTGGGTCCTGCTCAAATACGTCAGTTTATACTCCACGCTAGATAACAAGTTATAAACTTACCCTTCGGGCCGCCCCAGCCACCCTGTCCGACCAGGAAACCGCTACTCACGACTTTGGTGTACACCTCGCCGCTCTCCTTGTCCACAATAGACTGCTCAGTCTCCATCACAGTACCAGGCTTGCCTTTATCATAGACACCAATGACCTTATTGCGCAGCTCAAACTTGCGCCCTGCACTAGTGGTAGGGAGTGGCTTCAATATTGTGATCTTACGCTGGCCATCGAGGCCATGACGATGATCCAAGTCAGGGACGCCTGGAATGTGAATTGCCTTCTGGCGGGCATAGAAATCAGTCACCTCTTGATCAGTGAGCTTGAATGCTGATAGTTCTGGAATTAGTGCAACTGCCCGCAAGTCCCCGAGGACTAACTTACGGAGGATGAGAGAATAAGTTGGGAACACCGAAAAGTTCGGGTGGAGTTCCTGGATAATAGTTAGATTATAGTACTCAGATTCGTAAATATGTATGTAGCTTGTGGCTTACATAGAGGAAGTGCAGCTCGTCAGCCTTGACACCAATGCTGTTGGCGAACAATAGCACATCCCGCTTCTGCCAAGAGACCTCTTGGGCAGGGAATTCGTGACCAGCACCAGGGGTCGACATTTGGATGGTAGTATGAAGGGAGTAATGAATACAAGATCAGATAAAAAGAAGAGTTAGAAGTAGGGGAAATCAAGAAAACAAAGGAGTAACCTGCAGGTTAAAGTAGCTCCAGTAATTGCGGGGACTACCAAGCAGCCGAGGATCTGATAATAATCCTTGAATTCGTTGCCGTGATTTAACCGACGAGGGCATCTCCTTGGCATAATTCCCCCTTGCAGATCATACTTTGCACATCCTTTTCTTTTACAGCATATGTTGTGTAAGTCTTCAGTCTACGTGGGGAAAACTGTCCAGAAGAAGAGCGTTGGAGTTTGCTAGACTAAGCATCGACTCGGGTATCTACCTGGAAATTCGAGGAGCTTCAGAATGATATCCCTCCGTTCGCGCCACAAAATGCCTTTTTTCCTGCCTCCCAAGAACTAAACGCCGAAATAAACAAAGGCGAAACCAGATGTCCAATTCGCCTTGGGCAATTTCATACATGCCCATGCCAGGATGCATTGCGTGACGAAAATATTTCACTTAGATCGTGCAAACGTGCAGTTATACATCCCAATGACATCAAATTAGAAAAGTGGAACAAAATTAACACCTAGTATGCATTAGTTTAATGACCTCAAAAACGAATCAAAGCAAAATGCCAACTTACATGCGGTAGAAGCAGCCACCCTCAGCAGCGCGGGTAGCATCGGGGGTCTCGAACTTGTAGGTGATGCCGATATCCAAGTCACGCTTGTTCTTATCGTTAGGACGGTTCTCGATCCAGCCGGTAACACTCTCGTCCTCCTCAACGGTGAGGACATCACGGAGGTAGAACACGGTCTGCTTCCAGTGGGTGTACTTGGCGTGAGGTCCAGTGGAGAAGTGGATGGGCTTGTGGCAGGCACTGAACTCGATATCGAACCAGGCGATCAAGGCGTGGATGAAGTCGGGGCGCTTGGCGGTGAGGGCATAAGGCACCTTGAAGGCAAGGTCGGCCGTGGTGACGGTGTTCAGATCAAAGGTAATGATCGGGCAAGGATCGGTCACAAGAGCCTTCATCTCAACGGTATCGACGAGGGGCTCGTTAAGAGCAATCTCCTTCATGGGGCTGTAGTCGAATCCGTAGACATTATCCCAGACTGAATTTGGTCAGTACAGCGAACAAATAAAATTACAAGGTAAAATTGTTGCTTACATCCAATCTTATCATCCTTGTAATCGCCATCCTCAATACCAGCAACGTACATGGTGGCCTTATCGGGGAAGATCAGACCACCGGGGTTGAGGTAGGTGTCACGGGCGTAGAGAACGGTATCCAGCATGGACTCGTACAGAAGGAAGTAGCCCATCCACTCGGAGATAATGATATCAACCTTGGGGAAAGGAAGGTTAACTTCCTCCATTTTACCCTGGAGAAGAGTGATCTTATCGGACAATCCGTTGACGTGGACAATCTGACGGGCCTTCTCGATGATGGAGGACATATCGACACCAATGACGTGCTTTGCGCCAGCACGAGCGGCAAACCTGTTGAAAAAAAAAAACCAATTAACAAGAGATCTAAGGTAACGGTATTATTCTCTGGATACATACATGCTCAGAATACCAGTTCCACAGCCGACATCAAGGACGACCTTGTCCTTGAAGATGTGGCGGTTCTGGTAGATGGAGTCGCGGTAAGAGCGTGTGCGCACATCGTCTTTCTAGAAGATAGGAAATGAATGTCAGAGACCGTAAATCGCCAATTAGCCAGTAAATTTGTACTTACGAGCATCTCCTCGTGGATACCTGCGGGCCAAAAAAAAAAGATCGTTAGTCAAAACCACACTGAAAATTTGCTATCACTGATCAAGAATAATTTACCATGGTGATCGTAGCTATAAATTTATTAGCATCATAATCCGAAAGACCCAATCGATGAAGAATAACGTACCTAGTGAAGTAGCGGACTTCAGAGTGCTCCATGCCAACCATGCGATCAGCACTGCTGGTAATCCCCTGGGGGGTATCGGATTCGGTGTCCATCTTGACTGTGCGGAAAAGAAGAACGGGTCGAAAAGGAAGAATAGAGAAAAGTAAAAAAAATAATAGGAAGGATGTTAAAGATAAAAGTCCAACTGAGATCCTTAACTTTTTTTTTTTTCTTCTGGATTATTTGCCCGCCCGCCAAGCTTAACTCCAATCCCCGCCCGCGCTAGCCGTATTCAAGAATCACGTGTGTAAGCACGTGAGGATACTTGCCCTCATTTCCATAGGGCTATATGCGTGGCATAGTTGTACAACTGAGAAGTTCTGGGTATAACAATAATACGTACCTGCATGCTCTTTGGAGGGTATTTGTGTAAGAGATTATTATCCAAGAATAGCAAGCACCAATCGATGATATTTGATATTTAGAGTAGGTCAATTGTGACATTGACCATGTCTTTCCTTCGGAGTGAATGGTCAAGATCTCCAAGCAACTATAACAAAAATGATAAACAAGGTCAATTTCACTTCGAATCGTTGAAGTTGTACAAAGGATATCAATGGCGCTGTGGGGTAAAGAGCTGGCTTGATTGCCAAGACCACCGAGGGATAAGAGGGATAAGGGAGGCTCTTCAAGGTCGCCGGGAGCTCCGCCCTACCTGTCATCCATTCTTCCCCAAGCTTACGCGTTGAACGCCTAAGACCTCGGGAGTAAACTTTTGGACCACAATGCATTTGGGCGTAGGAAGAGTGAATCTCTGCACTCTTTTCACTTTCGTTTTTCTAGCCTCGCTCATCGGCAGGTCCAACGCGTCATTAGGAGACCACCTCCCCGACTTCAAAGAATGTGTCCAGGTACGACTCCGCAAACAACAAACCCTTGGGAAAACAACTAACAACCATAGGTCTGTAAAACGGAAAATTGTCAGAACGGCAATTCAGTGCTGCGTATGCTAAATCATTATTCTAACCGTTCTCCGTGTGTCCTCTCTTCTGACTTTTTTTTAGCTCTGCACCACCGCCTGCTACTATGGACATGCCCTGCTGAATGTGACTACACTTGTCAACATGTCATTACCGACCGTCGAGTTTCGCGTGATCCTCCAATGATCAGCCCGATTGTACAATTCCACGGGAAATGGCCGTTTCGTAGGCTCCTAGGGATGCAAGAGCCCTTCTCAGTGCTCTTCTCCTTCTTCAACTTCGCCGCCCACTGGCACGGCTTGTCCCGTATCCAAGAGTCGATCCCTAGTTGGCACTCGCTCCGCCCATACTACATGATGTTCGGATACATTGGACTTGCAAGCTGGAGTTTTAGCATGATATTCCACATGCGCGATTTTCCCATAACCGAGAAGCTAGACTACTGGGCGGCTGGCGCCAACGTGCTGTACGGCCTCTATCTTGCTGTTGTTCGAATCTTCCGCCTAGACCTCGAAAATACCCCATACCGGCCAACCCTACGTCGGCTTTGGACTGCTATTTGCGTTCTGCTATACACGTTGCACGTGTCTTATCTTACCTTCTGGTCCTGGGACTACACCTACAACATGGTGGCGAACGTGGTGGTTGGTATTATCCAGAACCTCAT